ATGTCCCCGAGCAAAGGATGAAAAGGAAGGATTCCCAGCATCTTTTGGAGAAACAGCCTTTTACATAGTGTCTTCATGGCATTTATTTCTTCAGCATATCTATACTGAGCATATGCCAAATATTGCTCTAGGTACTGGGGACATGGTGGTGAATAAAAAATTATAGTGCATGCTCTCAGAGAGTTTATATTCTTGTGGGGAGAGGCAGGAAATAAATGAGAACATATCAGATAGTATAACAGAGAGAGAGACATGGGTAGTCAGGGAAGGCTTCTCTGAGATGACATTCAGGCTTAGACTTGAATGGCAAGGAGTCAGCTCTGCAAAGACTCAGAGGAAAAGCCTTGTAGACAGAAGGAACAGGAAGTGCAAAGTCCCTGAGGCAGCAATGGGCATGGTCATTTTGAAGAATAGCAAGGAAGCCACCATGGTTGAGAGCTGTTGAAGTGAGGTGGGAATGGGGGGAGGGGCCGACTGTGGATTCCTGTAGGCCCCATGGGAAGGATGCGGAATTTTATTCAAACTGCAATGGCAAGCTGTTGGAGGGTTTTAAGCAGAGATGAGACACGATCAAATTTATGTTACACGACTGGATAGGGAGTGGACAGTAGGGAACGAGAGCAGAAACAGGGAAGCCATTTAGGAGGCCACTGATCGATTTGGTGGGGGGATTGGGAAAGAGAAATCAAGGGCTCCTAGGTTTGTGGCTTGATCTGCTGAGTGGACACGGAGGCCATTTAATGCAATGGGGACAATAGGGTTAGGAGTTGGGTTGGACAATGGGTGGAAATCAGGAGTTGTGTTTTGACCATGCTTAGCTGAAATGCCGGGTAGGCAACCATGTGGGGCTGAGTAGGCAGTCGAATATTCCAGTCTGGAGTTCACTGGATAGCTTAGGGCTTGTGAGATACGCACACATTTGGAGTCATAAACAATACTTTATCTCAGTGATGGGCTGGGAAACAGTCTCCCCAGGAAAATAAAGAAAGCACCTCTGACATGTAGTGTTTGCTGATATCTGTGGTATAAATTCGCCACGGCTGATTTCAGGCTGCCAGTGGTTCAGCGCTGGCAGAAATCCTGAACATTAAACTCTGATCCTGGAGCAAATAACACTCGGCTTCATTTGCGCATCAAAACAACTCTTGAAGTTGGCAGGAATGTTCCATTTGACAGACAAGGCTTAGATTCAGTGATCTATTCAAGGTCACACAGGGAGTTGGTGGCAAAGTTGGGGGCCTCCTGACCCCCCCAGTTCCCTCTGGCTTGCTGACTCAAAGTAAAACAGACTGTAGCAGTAAGCACGGAGAGGGAAGTGTAAGGAAGAACTTCCACTGTGGAATCTTTGAGAGGCCATGGTTTAGGACTTTTTTTCCTCCTCTTTGCCTCACTTCCTTTTAAGATGATTTAGGGCAAATCAGGACTGAGAGGTTACTGGAAAAGCCCTCCAGACATAGGGACCTCAGGATGCTTATGGAGGTCAGGAGGGTGTGGGGAACTGTGTGTGTGTGTGTGTGTGTGTGTGTGTGTGTGTGTGCGCGCGCGCGCGCAGATGGGGGGCTTAGCTCCTGCGTCTCTCCCCAGGACAGCAGAGCTGGTCACCTCTCATTCTGTACCAAGGTGTGCTATGGCATTGGGGGGATCCCCAACCAGGTGGCCTCCAGCGCCACTGCCTTTTACCTGCAACTCTTCCTGCTTGATGTGGCACAGGTGAGTGTGGACAGCAGCACAGGGCCCCCCATCTTCCTTGGTACCCACTTCTTCCACCCCTACCTGTACTTCACTTGGCAGATGGCATTTCTGTCCCCAACCTGACAGGAAGTCACATGCCTTTGAGGGCAACCTCCTCGAGGATGTTTACTGCAGGCTTTTTGTAGTGAAAAATCGGGAAACAATATGAATGCCCAACAGTACAGAAGTAGTTGTATAATAAGTTGTGCAATATCCACATAATGGACTATTCTGTAGCCATTCAAAAGAATGAGCTAGATCCATACCAGTTGACTTGGAGGGATTTCCGTAATGACCCTCAAGTGAGAGAAGTTACTTTGAGGGAACAGGATACAAATTGATCCCATTTTACCAAAACAAAGACACGCCCCATGTATGTAGGTACATGAGTATGTGTATGTGACTCTATATGGTTAAAATATAAGCATGGAGAAAATAAATTACAGAAGGATATCTATAGGCTGTTAATGTTGGTTATAGGAGGGAATGGTGGATGGAGGACAGAGGGGAAGCAGAAAAAAGATTTCTAATGTAGTACCTATGATTTTTTTTAATGGCACTGATACGATCTCATTTAGGTAAAATTATAAATTCTGAATGCACATGAATAAATGCCTGAAAAGGTGATCACCAAAATGCTCTGGCAGTTGTCTCAGGATGGGGGGATTTCAGATGAGCTTTGATCGTATTTTTCTGTACTGTCTGAATGTTTTTATAACGAGTGTGTCATTTGTGTAATCAGAAAAACGAATAAAACATTTACATTGTGAAACAAAAAGCCTACCTCTGTCACCCTTCTTGCACTGAGCCACCTCAGATGAGGGCCCCCAAGCCTCCTCCAGAAGTGGCTGGGCATGAGTGATAACGGGAATGTGCCAGTGTGTGCCGGTCAGCTCCTCCCCCCGCCCCTCTCTTCACTAGTGCAGGCGTGCCCTTAGAGCCTTCTGGATTTGTGTCCCTGGAAAGAGACCAAATAGACCTTCACACCACAGTTCTGCCCCCTGCCAGGTCACCAGCACTTTCTCCTGGCAGGTGGGCAGACCCAGACACCCCTCTCTGATGCTGCGGAGCCTTGGCTATCCCCCCCACCTGTGCTTTTCAGATCCCTGCTGCCCAGGTGTCACTTGTCCTGTTTGGAGGAAAGGTGTCTGGGGCAGCTGCTGACCCTGTGGCTGGGTTCTTCATCAACAGAAGTAGGAGGACAGGGTCTGGACGACTCATGCCCTGGTGAGCGGCCCCACAGCCCCACAGATCCTGGCTCCCAGCCCCCGTGGAAAGCCAGTGGATGGTTAGAGGACAGGACAGTAATAGGTGCTGGTACCCAAGTAGGTCAGGCTGAGCCATGCAGGAGTTCAGAGATATTCCTAGGGGCTTTCCCTCACCAGGTGGTGCAGGGCTGGACAAAGCCTCCAAGGCTTCCAGGCCGGATCTAGGGGTCTACTTGTGGCCAGGGTGGGCTGGAGGCCTTGGAAGGCCTGGATACAGAGAATGGGCAAGTGGAGGCCCCAAGTGCCCAGAGTTCTGCAGTGAATGGCCCCACGCTGCAGGCTACCGCCCCCCCCCCCCCCCCCCCCCCCGACCACCCTGAGAGCCCCAGCCCAGGGCTCCTCTTGGGGACAGAGGATTTCTGCCCAGAGGGGTGTGGTGGTTCCAGGTTTGCCCTTAGAGTCGCCCTGTCCTGGTGCCCTACCTCCGCTGTGCTTCCACAGGGTGCTGGGCTGTACACCCTTCATCACGACGGCCTACTTCCTCCTGTGGTTCCTGCCCCCCTTCACCAGCTTGCGGGGCCTCTGGTACACCACCTTCTACTCCCTGTTCCAGGCCCTGGCCACGGTAAGCAAGTGGCTCCCCTGCCCGGAGCCTGGACTCCGGGAACCCCAGAGAGGGCCGTTGGCCACCGTGAAGTCTGTGTGGAGGGGAGAGGGTAGGTGTCCTGGAGGGCCCCACTGCCGGCACCTGCTCACCGCTCCGGCCCTACGCCCCTTCCTCTGGGCTACAGGGGATCAGCCTGGCTGTGCCAGCCTGCTTCAGGGACCGGCTTGGGCCTGGGGGCTGTGGTCCCGGGCCCCCAGAGGCTGCGTCTGGGCCGCGGAGGCCAGCCTGAGCCCGGCCTGGGCGCCCAGTTCTTCCAGGTGCCCTACGCGGCGCTCACCATGCTCCTGACCCCCTGCCCGAAGGAGCGGGACTCGGCCACCGCGTACCGTGAGTGCGGGCGTGGGATCGGGCGGGAGGCCGCCGCCCGCGGGCCCGCCAGCGCCGGTCACCTAGCGCCGCTCTGCCTCAGGGATGACCATGGAGATGGCGGGGACGTTGATGGGGGCCGCCGTCCACGGCCTCATCGTGTCGGGCGCCCACGAGCCGCACAGGTGCGAGGACGCCGCGCTCCCCGGACCGGTCGCCGTCTCTCCCGACGCGGTGAGTGCCCACGCCACCCTGTCCTCGCTCGCTTCTCGCTCCCTCCCGCTCCTCCGGCCGGACTCGGCGTCCTGCCTCCCACTAAAGCAGACCAGCAGGAGGGGAGAGGGATGGAGAGGGAACACAGGCAGGGAGGGGCAGGGGATAGGGTCTGACGTCCCTGCAGAGCTTGGGAGGAAGCGTCTCCTGTGGCCTGTCCCACTCAGCCCTGACTAGGTGGCCCCCACCCCCAGCCTCACCCCTGGTGTGCAAGGACAAGGGAGACCTGGGAGCAGTCCCCCTTCCTCTCCCTGCAAACCAGATCTCTCTTCAGCAACTAAGGGACATGCATCTATTTTATCCATCAAGTTCAGCGACTTTTCCCTTGAGCAAGTGATACCATTATCCAGCAGAACCCCAGGAGCCATCATTTAGTGCTCTCTCTTCCACCATTACCCCCGCTCCAGCCCATTACCAACTCCTCTCCGTGTTTGAGGCCGCAGATCTGGAATCAGGTCATGACCTTGCATCCCCAACTGCTCCAGCCTGGCCCACACACCAACATCTCCCCGGTCACCCCAGTATTGCAACAGCTTCCCACACAGGCACCCCAGCCTCCAGCCCTTCCCCCAGCACAGTCAGGTGGCCATTGTAAAGGAGTTCCAGCATGGGTGGCCCTCACCTTCAGGTCCTGGCACAGGTTGCTCCTCCCCCGGTTTGCTTTTCTCTGCATCCTTCTTGTTTGCCAGCTCGTTTAATAAATACGTCAGATTTAGCAAAAAAAAATTATACAGCTCTGGTTCTCAAAGTGCAGTCCCTGGACAGCAGCAGCAGCAGCACCTGGAAACTTGTTAGAAAGTCAAATCTTGGGCCCCACCCCGATTTACAAATTTTGGGAGGAGGCCAGCAGTCCATATTTGAACAAGCCCTCCAGGGGATTCTGCCCCCCACCCGGGCTGGAGAATCAATGGGAGGAGAATAGTAGCACATCTTGGCCCAGCACCCACTGAAGAGACATGACGATGAAGTCCCATGTTTCCATCCCCAGACCCATCTGCAGGGCCAGCTACGAAATTTGCCTTTTACAAAATGAAAACAGGGGGCTCCAGAGACAGCAGGGAAGTCAGTCTGTCCTTCCCATGGCCCACTGCCCTAACCGAGGGATTGTTTGGGTCCAGGTGCATGAGGGGCCCCACCAAGTTGCCCTCAGGCTCATGATGCTGCCAGCTGAGGGTCAGAGGTGGTGGCCTTGCCCCTCCCAGACTGACTCCACCCACATGCATGTTCACCCCCCACTCAGGCCTCCACAGGCCCCCTCCCCAAAGGTACCAGGTCACTCTCTGGGTGCGGATGACAGGGGCCTTGGGTTGGCCTGGCCTAAAGTGCAAAGGAATGGGAAGCAGGAGGCTGAGACCCCACCCCCAGGAGGTGGAGCCTCATGTGAGCCAAAGCACAAAGCTTCAGGTACGTCAAGTCACGCTGTACCATCCCATCAGACTTCACTCACAAAACACGAATTCATAGATAAAATTTCAAGCATTTCGAGCATTTCAAGACGGTGACAGCAGAGCATGAACACCTACCCCAGCACCGTCCTGAATGTGGGGTCCTGTGCAACTGTGCTGAGCCCACCCAAGCTTGCCTCCTTCTTTCTTCCCTTCCCCAGAGGCAACCTTTTCCTGTAGCAGGTGACTGTTACTCCTGTGCATGTCTACATATATTTTATTACTTGTATATCTTCCCCCGGTGACAGGGAGCACTGTTGCTGTTGTTGACATTTGTCTGTGTCATTGTGAGTCACACTATATTGTAACTGTTGGCTCATGAGTCTGTCTTCCACACTCGAAGCAGGAGTCACTTATTCACCACTGTAACCTCAGGGTCTAGCTTGCAGAAGTCCCAGCAATAAATCTGTGCCTTAAAAAATGAGAGAGACGGAGAGAGGAAGGGCTCAGACCCTTGGTGGCATGGATGCCCTCCTATTCACGCAGGAGCCACAGGCGCAGCAGGAGGACCATTCTGGGCCCTGAGATCTCCATCTCCTGCTGTGGTGATTGGGAGGAGGGGCACCCAGCATCCTTGGGCTTGGGCTGAGGGTCCCTCTGCCCCCATCGGGGTGTCCCCTCTTCCGTAGGTGGGAGACATCACCTCCACCCCAGTTCTGTCCTGTCCCATAGACTCGTCTCTACTCCATTGCCTCCGCTGTGGTTGCTGTGACCTACCCTGTGTGCAGTAGTTTGCTCTGCCTAGGGGTGAAGGAGCGACCAGGTAAGGGAGTGCAGTCAGAGTGTGGGAAGCAGAAGCAGGGACAGGACTCCTCTGGGGCGTGGGTTTTGGTTTTGAACTCTGCCAAGCCCAAGTGTCACTTTCCTGTGTCGCAGGCTCCTCCGTCCCAGCCTCAGGCCCAGGCCCGAGCTTCCTGGCTGGGCTGGTGCTCACTGTCCGGCACCCACCTTACCTGAAGCTGGTCATCTCCTTCCTGTTCATCTCAGCAGCCATTCAGGTACCTCTGGCCTTGGCTCTAGCCATACTGCCCTGTGTATGTTCGGCTTCGGTCTCCCGGCTCCACCAACCAGAGTTGGGCTTTAATAGGGAGAGATGGTGGCTGGCACGGGGCCTAGGGAGTTTGGTGCAAGGAGGAGAGAGACCTGGACAGAGCTTGTGGGGCTGGGAGGGTCAGGGCCCCGATGCCAGGAAGCTGACAGAATCTGCGTGGTGAGGTCCACTAGCCGGGCAAGAGTGAGGAGGGACTGGGAATGGTTATTCATCCCTGTGTCAGGGCTGAGTGTCCTCTGTGGGGGAGGGGATTGCGTGATGGCAGCAACAACCCGTATGCGAGGTCCCAAAGAAGAGGCCAGACTTGAGACCTAGGCCTTGCCCTTGACTTCTGAGTTCCTGCCGTTCCCTATGCAAGCCTACTGCCTGTTGGTCTCCTCAGGTGGAGCAGAGCTACCTGGTCCTGTTCTGTACACATGCCTCCCGGCTACATGACCATGTCCAGGGCGTGGTGCTAACCATCCTGGTGAGTGGTCCTGAGGTGGCAGAGGCAAGGTCAGTCAGGGGCCTAGGTTGGGGAACTATGTGGTCCTTGACAAGACATGGCATAGCCGAAATTCTGGTCAGCATTCTGGACTCTGCTGCGATCTTAGTCACCTGCGCTCCAGCAGAGGGTGGGATTGGGTCTGGGGTCATAAACTTCATAGCCACTGGTTCCAATCTGGGGGCAAAGTGGAGTTCGAGCATCCCACCTAAAAGCCAGGGCTTCTGGAACCTGGGTGGGTAAAGACATTGGCAGCACGGCCCGGACTGGGACGATTCTGTCTGTTCACAGGTCTCAGCTGTGCTGAGCACGCCGCTGTGGGAATGGGTTCTACAGCGATTTGGGAAGAAGACATCAGCCTTTGGGATCTGTGTGAGTGAGGCAGGAAGCAAGGACCGAGGTGCCTTCAGGGAAGGTGGTGGGGTCAGGGAAGTGGCCTTGGAGCCTCGGCCTCCTGGGAGCTGGCAGGGCTGATCTGTATTTGTCTTCCATCCCTAGCAAAGGACCAGGTGCAGGGTCATTAGTAAAGACGGGTGAATGTGGGACTGAAAGAGCAAGTCTGGGGCAGGTGGAGGGATCAGCTAGTGTATCTGTCTCCCCAGGTGATGGTGCCTTTTGCAATCCTGTTGGCTGCTGTGCCCACAGCACCTGTGGCATATGTGGTGGCCTTTGTATCTGGCATGAGCATTTCTGTGTCCTTGCTGCTACCCTGGTAGGCTGGGTGAGGGGGAGGGGTGGGAGCATCATGTCCTTCCTCATGGGTATGTCCTCTTTCACATCCACCTGTTGTCCCAGGCCCCCTGTGCCCACCCTGTGCTGGGTAGGGCCCTCCCACCTGCAGGAGACGGAGGCCACCAGCTCAGTCGCTGGAGCTCTCCTGAAAGAGCACCAGACGGCAGGAACAGTGGGCAGCTGTGTTGGGGGAAGGGAGGAAACGCAAGCACACATATTGCCTGGCTCCCTGTGGGCCACTCCTGGTCCTGGGCAGCAGGAACCCAAGGATGGATCCGATTTGGTCTCTGTCCCCGGAAAGCTCTCGGGTTGATGGCTACCAGGGGACAAAAGGGGTAATTCTGCAGCCCCTTCCCCCAGGTCCATGCTTCCAGATGTGGTGGATGACTTCCAGCTGCAGCACCAGCACGGCCCAGGCCTGGAGACCATCTTCTACTCATCCTATGTCTTCTTCTCCAAGCTTTCTGGTGCAGGCGCCCTGGGCATCTCCACTCTCAGTCTGGAGTGAGTCCCAGGGCTGGACTGTACTAGAGGCACAAAAGACTAACTCCCACTGGAGTGGGAGGAAGAGGGCAGAGTTCTCCACCCTAATGGGCCAGGGGACACCCATGAGTCAGGGACCCAAGCTCTGCTCTTTAGAGAGTGTAGGGGAGCCACCTGCCTCAGGTTGCCCTGTGCACATGACTGAGAGGGGTCTTTCTTGGGGGCTGTACCCCACATTCTTAGTTTTGTCTGAGCTCCTCCCTGGCCAGCCCATTCTCTCAACTCTCCCTTCCGCCATGGTCAGGCTGATCTGGCCAGGAAGTGTATCCAAATTTCAGGGTAGTGTGGGGGTGGGGTATCTGGGACCCCTCCTGCTGGGAGCCGGGCTCCGTGAGATCTGAGCTGGATGCGTGGGATGCTGTGTCTCCAGGTTTGCGGGGTATGAGGCAGGAGCCTGCAAGCAGGCGGAGCAGGTGGTGGTGACCCTCAAGGTCCTCATCGGTGCCGTGCCCACCTGCATGATCCTCACCGGTCTGTGCATCCTCATGGTCAGCCCCACTCCAAAGGTGCCCAGCCAGAACTCCTCCCGCCGGCTGAGCCTTCAGAGGTGGGCACCCCATGCACACGGGTACACACGGCAGGGAAGCACAAACATCCACTGGTGTGAGGTTGACCGGTCGGCAGGTGCCCCGAGACACATACACAGTTGAGCACTCCTGCTTCTGCAGACTCTGCACTTAGCTTTGGTGATGCCATCTTCTCCTGGATTTTCTTCAGCTGCTTTGCTCATCCCTTCTCAGTCTCCCTCCCTCGATTACCTGTCGGAGGGTGGTGTGGAAGGGCTCCCTTCTCGGCCCCTGCCCCCCTCACCTCATCCACTTGCTTGATCTCAAGCACCTCTTGTGCCCGGTGACTCCTAAAGCTGCCCCTCCCCCCCGGACTTCCTTCAAGTTCCGGAACCACATGGCGGGCTCTGATTTGCACATCTCCTCCTGATGTCCCACCAGCGTGGAGTCAGTTTTGATGAGCCCCGAACTGCCGAACTCATCTTCTTCCCCCATTAGGCTCCTCCTCCTGTGATGGCACCATCCTCTAGCCTGGGAGCTGAAAGCCGGGTTGTCTTCTACTCTTTCCCCCACAGGTTGTGCTGAGCCACTCCCTGAGCCTTGTCCTTCCCACTTCCGAGCACTGATCCCTCCGCACAGGGATGAGATACCCACTGGCTGGCCTTCCCAGTGGACTGTGGGGGATCTGGACGGCTAGGGCTGTGTTTTATTCACTTCCGTGTACCAAGCCCAGCACAGGGGCCAAGGCCAAGCTGGTGCCGCAGCGTCAACACGTCTGGCCCAGTGGCTTTCACGAGCACGTGGCCGCATTTTTGGCGATGCTCACACACTCAGAACTTTGAGCACGTGTGCATACAGAGGACTGTACAGGATTGGCAGGAAGTGGCATTGTCATCCATCCCTCATTCTCAGCGTGGACGGCTCAGACTTGGGCTGAGTAACACTGAGATCACATGTCACACTCGGAGTGACATGCACATGGGGAACTGCTGGGGGGACTTGGGGAAACAAGGGCTGTAGCTTTTCCCGAGGGGCTGTGAAGGGGAGGAGTTGCTAGGACGGCAGGGACCCGCCACTTCCATCGGGCGTAGGGTCTATGGCAGGACAGAGTCCCCTTCCACCCTCATCTTTCTCTTTGGCCCCTTTTCCTTTTACAGGCGGACCAGCTACACCCTTGCTTGAAGTCTGAGCTTGTGTGGGCTGGAACAGCAGGAGCCAGCGTCTTCTGGGCTCGATGTTCCTCTTTCTTCTCGGCCCCTTAGCATACTTACTTCGAAGGTTACATGCGACCCATCTTTTCCCCTGGGATATGGAGTCTTCAGTGACATCTCCTGAAGGGACCAGCCTGGGCTCCAGTTCCCTCAGCCGTCATTTCTTGCCTGTTGACCACAGACCAGGTCAGAGAGGCCTGTGCCCCTGACCACCCAGCTCCAGGTAACCTTGACCTGGAAAGCATCCCAATAGCAGCTATTCCTGGAAAAAGGAAGCCCACAACCTGCTCACCCAACAGGACAGACACACAGACCTCTTGTTCCTCCTAATACTCCAGTAGACATCAGAGAGAGAGGCTGACAGACATCGCACGAATGGGCAGAGTGGGGACAGATGGACATGCTGGGGATGTCACGAAAAGAGACACAGACAGATGCACTGAGGCCAACAGACCCCAGAGGGAGCACATGGGGACAGCGGTGGGGTGAGGAGACCGAGCAGGCCGCCAGAGGCGTTTCTCAAGCCTTTCTCTTTTGTTCAGATAACACTGTTTCTGGAAATGGACACAGGCCGATATGGAGCCATCAAAGATCAATCATTTTTATGAACAAAAGTTCTTTTTGTGGAAATATTTTTTTGAAATGGTATCTTATAAAAAGCACAGGGACCACAGTTTTCTGAAGGCCATATCTTTGAGGAAGAAAGATCCACTGAGGTTTATTTTTTCAAAAAAAAAAAAAAAATTAAAAGGTTTATCTTCTATTGATTCTGTAAAATATGACTGTGGCCAGCCCTCTCATCCCACCTCCTGGGAAACCACTGCCCAAGGAGGGAAGGGGGAGGGTGCCTGACGTCACTGCCCCTGGCTGTGTGTCACTGCCCCTGGCTGTGTGTCCTCAGCCGTATATCCCTGATTCTGCATTTCCTCAGGCCAGAGATGCCACGTGGGACATGGGTTCCGCCTTTGCTTTGGAGGAGATAAAAATTGAGACTCTAGAGTAGTCAGGGTAGCAGGCCACAGTGGCTTGTGTGGGCTGGGGATGGGCGGGGGGGGGGGGGGGCCGCAGAGGTGTTGGGGAACCCATGGGGGTTCTGATGCCCCAGCAGCTCCTTGAAAAGCCCAGACACCTAAAGAGGTGACCAGGAGGTGCAGACTTGCCCCCTGCATTTCTCCCCAGCCCCCTGCTCTGTCCCCTCCATGGGGTCAGCTTTCCCAAGCCCACTGAGCAGGGGTAGGCCCCCTTCCACTTCCTCTTTAGAGCTTTGACTGCCTCTTAGGTTCCAGAGTCACCCCTAACACTGCCGGAGCTCAGACTCACATTCAGGGATGGTCTGCCCCTCAAAGCATGAAACGCCTTGCTTCTTCCACAAACGTTGTGGCCCGAGAAGGAACCTGACCTCAGAGTGAGAGTACACAGTGCGACCTGGTCTATATGATGCCTGAACTCTCTGCCCTTGCTTGTGACACTGACATGGGTAGGTGATCATTGAGGTCACAGGGCGTCAGGGAAAGAGCTGGGTTCAGCTTCTCTTCGTTGGCCATCTGCCTAAGGGGCTGCCAGGAAGCTCTGCTCACCCCTGGCTGCACGAGGAGACACACACACACACACACACAACCAGTTTCTCAACAATGGAAAATCACTGGCTGTGGGAAACAGTACCTGCTAAGACAGAAGGCAAGGTAAAATTTCTCCCATGTTATCATGCCGTGCTTTGGAAAGATGGGCAATTCAAGTAGGATCAGAAGCTTGTGCCGAGTTCTGTTACCTGTTTCCCAGGAGTGCAGCCTCAAGCAGAACTGTACTGTCCAAATACAGCTGCAGGGGGCCACCTCTGGGGTCAGGGGTTAGATGACCAGGGGCTGCCCAAAATGTATTATTCCATTTCTCCCTCACAGCAGTGCTACGAAGTGGGTACTATTATTCTCATTCTCAGGTGAGGAAACAGGCTGGGATTAAGTAACTTGCCTAAGGTCAGTTGGTGGCAAAAATGGCCTTGAACCTAAGTGGGCCTGACTCTAAAGCTTGTGGAGACAGCCAGTGCTGGAAACATTTGTTGGAGGAACAGCTGATGGCCAGACTTTGGTACCAGGAGGACCTCTCCTCCTCTGAAACCAAATGCCAGCATCCCCACCTCGGACTCTATGCTCCGATCCCACGGTATTATCTGTACTCATTGAGAATTATTCCTGACTCAACCCGTTATTCCTACTCTGGATCCTTTGACTCACATTTGCCCACAGGGCCTCCCCTTGTGTCCCTGTCCCTCTTCTGACACCCACCCTCAGAGCCAGTCCTCCTGTTTCAGAGAAAGAGGATGTCTGCTCACCACTAAGGCCCAGCCCTGGGCCTATTGCTGACAAAGAGTAGGCATCTCACTCACCCCTTCCCTCTCTGCTACCTTTTCCAAACCCACTTAAATCCAAGAGATCATGCCACTCACTTGCTCAAGACCCACAAGACCGGGGGCTGCTCAAATGTCACTTCTGGGACAGAGAGACCTTTCCTGCGCTCCTGCTCTCCCCTAGTGACCGTTCCTGCATTCCAGCACTCTCTAAGCTCTCCCTGCTTTGCCTGTGCTTAGTAGACCTACCTCCATGTACAATTGTGTATTTATCAATTGCTTACTTATTGCTGGCCGCCCCCACTAAAACGTTAAGCGTCACGAGGCCAAACGTCATGAGGACGTTGGCTCTTCCTGCTGGATCCTCAGTGCCTGGAAGTAAATGTTCAATATGCATAAATGTCTACTGAATGAACAAGTGAATGTTTATATCAGCTTTATCCTGAAACAGACAAAAATCACCTTTCCTCGTTCCCTTAGCTTCCACCTGTCCAAACAATCTGCTTCGCTCTTCTCCCCCAGCCCCCCGCCACCGTAGTGCTGTCCCCTTGTCCCCACCTGCCATTCCCCCCTCAACTCCTTAAACCTGGACTCTGCCTTCCTATGGAGACCATGCAGCTCAGCACTGTCAAAGGTCAACTCCAGCATCAGAGAAAAGGAAATGGGGGTTCGTGTTGTTTACTTGTGTGACTCATCAACTTCTGTAACAAACCTGAGCCTGTTTCCTTTTTGAAAAGAATGTGTTCGCCATTACCTCTGGATGGCCATGAGGATTAAGTGTGAGATCATATCTGACCAGGGAAACCCTCAGTGACTGGTAGCCATTAAATGCTGGCCACTCATTTTCAAAACTCCATCCTCCCTTGGCTTACATGATGCACCTTCCCCCTTAGCCTCCACCATCTCTGGTCCTTCATTTTCTGTCTTTTCCTTTGCTTCTTCTTCCTTTGATGCTCTGTAGGTGTCTCAGGCTTCCCAGGGCCATGAGATCTCACTCACAAACACCTTTATTTTTATTTATTCTTTGAGAGAAAAGAGAGAGCACAAGCAGGGGAGGGTACAGTGGGCAGAGGAAGAGAGAGAATTTTAAGCAGGCTCTACGCCCAGTGCTGAGCCCTACATGGGGCTTGATCTTGTGACCATGAGATCATGACCTGAGCCGAAAGCAACAGTCGGAAGCTTAACCGACTGAGCCAGCCAGATGCCCCTCAATCACTATCACCGTTACACCTCTCTATTTTAACCCTGAGCTCTGCTGAACTTCAGAAGCCCATCTGAGTGTTCTTCAGGCAGTTAAAACATCCTCAAGCGGAACTCATCACCTCCCACGCTTGTTCCACCTCCTGCATTTTTGGTAAATTATGTCAGCATCTATCAGGTCACCAAAACCAAAAACTTGGGGTCTTCTTAGTTTTCTTTCTTCCCCATTCGCGCTGCTGCGCCCTTCCTGTGCACACGGAGTGTGGATGAAGCAATGGGAGGAAAGGGTTGCAGCTTGTATGTTATTATCAAATGGCAGAAGTTATTTGAAATTGGATAGAAAGTTGTAGCCCCAGAAATGGATGGGTTTGGCTCATAACACACACGGTGACACAGCTGCTTGTGAGATGTTTGAGGTGTGTATGTGTGTGCGTTTGCGTACTCCTATGGGACTTCTTCGTTCTGCTGGGTATTTTTCTGTGTCTCTTAAGGACAAAACTGGTGCAGAAGCAAGGAAATTCAGGTTATGCTCAAATTGTTCTTTAATATAGCAATTGTGTTGGAACAAATTTGTGTTTTCAAAACAAGCATTATAGAAGAACTGAGTGTATACGTGTGTGAGTGTAAACAACAGAAATCCTAAATGATCTCATAAATATTCAAGGAATGAAATACATATTATAAAGCATTCACACACACATATACACCCAAACCACGAGATTCAAATGATTTTACCAAGTGCTATCAAACTTTTTATCAAGGATCATTTCATAGCTTATGAAAACTTTTCCAGGGAATAGAAAAAGGGCAAACTCTACAACTCATTGTATCAGGCCAGAATAAGTTTAATACCAAAACCAGACAAGTAAAAATGAAAGGAAATTTACAGGCTAACCTTAAAGGATTAAAAGAGCACAGAACATAGAAGCAAGAATCTGAAACAAAATACTAGTAAACTAAGGGGCTCCTAGGTGGCTCAGTCAGTTAAGTGTCCAACTTCGGCTCTGGTCATGATCTCATAGTTTGTGGGTTCAAGCCCTGCACTGGGCGCTGTGTTGTCAGCTTGGAGCCTGGAGCCTGCTTCAGATTGTGCCTCCCTCTCTCTCTGCCCCTCCTCACTCATGCTCTGTCTCTCAAGAATAAATATTTAAAAAAATAATAATGATAATAAAAAAAAGAAAAATCTGTCCAGTGAAATTTACCACATTAATAAAGGAGGAAAAAAATTATGATCTCAATAGATACAGAATCATTTAATAAAAAGCTAATATTCATTCATGATAAAAGTACTAAGCAAACCAAGAGGAAAAGGACATTTTTTTTGAAGTTTATTTTGAGAGACAGAGAGAGCCTACGCACACACAGGCCAGCGTGGGGGACAGGGGTGCAGAGAGAGGGGGAGAGAGAGAGAGAGAGAATCCCAGGCAGGGTCTGCACTACCACCACAGAGCCTGATGCAGGCAGGGCTTGAACTCACAAACCATGAGATCATGACCTGAGCCGAAATCAAGAGTCAGATGCTTAACCTACTGAGCCACCCAGGCACCACAAGTAGAGATTTTTAAACCTGAGTAAGGCTATCTACCAAAAACCTATAGCAAACATTCTTAATGGTGAAATATGTCACCTAGTGGTAAAATGTTAATGATGAAATAGTCCCTTTAAAATCAGGAATAAGGGAAGGATTACTCACTATCAATGCTTCTGTTCAACACTTCATCAGGGGATCTAGCTAGTGCAGTAAGATAACAGTATAATAATTAGAAAGGAAGAAACAAAATTGTCATTATTTATAAATGATATGACTACCTACTTAGAAAACCCAAAAGGACCTACAGATACATTATTAGAATAAGAGAGCACAGCAAGGTAGCTGGACATAAAATTAACAAAATTACATTTTTATATTCCAGCAACAGTTATAGAACATAATTTTTAAACAGTAGCAACAAAAAATATAAAGTACCTAGAAATAAATGAACAAGATGTGGAAAGACTTGCTCTTGGCCATGATGGAGTAGTAAAGACCAGATCCAGCCTCTCAGTTGAAGCGATTAAAAACGACTGGTCTGCGGGGCGCCTGGGTGGCTCAGTCGGTTAAGCGTCCGACTTCAGCCCGGGTCACGATCTCGCGGTCTGTGAGTTCGAGCCCCACGTCGGTCTCTGTGCTGACTGCTCAGAGCCTGGAGCCTGCTTCCGATTCTGTGTCTCCCTCTCTCTCTG